GTGCCCGGCATGGCGGCGCTGAGGGAGCTCCCTCACGGGCGGCCGGGACTCCCCGGTGCCGATGTTCTGCTCACGCCCTCCCCGTGGCACCTCAGCCCTCCTCAGGGCTGGGTCAGGGGGGAGGCAGGGTGCCATGACGCCGGTCCCAGGCCACCATGGCCCCCCACACCCCGCCAGCAAAAATGTGAGGACAGCCTCACCCACCTCTCACGCGACTGGAAAAAAAAATCACAAGAGAAAGAGAGAAGGAAGGAAGGAAAGAGGCAAAGATAGATAATGGCTTCTTTTTATTTGCCTTTTGCTCTCTGAGTCATGGTTTTCAGTTTTACTCCCCAACCACAAAGACTAAAAGTTGTTTTTTTTTAAAAAGCCCTGTGAAAGTCAAGGTTCGCTTGTAGCTCCGTGGCTCTTGGGCTGAGGCTTTAAATACGTCCCCATCAGACAGGGTGACATCGAGCTGTGTCAGAGCATCTTTTTGCACCCAGACTGCTCTCAGCCCTTCTTCCACTTCCTCTCTTTGAAAGCAGCCCCATCTTTCATAACCATGTTGTAAATGAATCATCTCTTTTCTGGCCCCGCGCCCCTGGAGTTAGATTAAACTTGTTGTTTCTGCTTAATTTCAAGAGATGTGAACTGTGTCCCCACAAAGATGGAGCCCTGAAACGGACCGACAACGGAGGTGAGTACCTCTGCGCAGAGCCGGGTTTGGGGTGCAGAGCCTGCGGGGACTCAGCCGCTGTCCCGGGCACAAAATAATTCATTTCTCAGCCTGTGTCACCAGAAAGGGAAGGCTGGAGGCTCCGGAGGAATGAAAACACTCTGCCTTTCTCTTACAAAACTTCACTTTCTGAAGCCTCTGCGGCGAGAAGACCCTTTCCTGGGGGAAACTGCCTGACCTCTGGCTGGCATTGAAGCACAGCCCCTGCAACGTGCCGTTCCTCGAGTTTAACCTCGCAGGAACCGGTGCGTGATCTGGCGTTGCATACAGGGCTGTGGAAGTTGCCCAGTTGTTTGCTGCGTGCTTCCACAGCAGTGGTGGGATCCTCAGCCTTGAGTCGCCATCCGAGAGCAGGGACCAGGGCGCAGTAAAGAGGTTTTTCTCTGCAGAGCTTAGCTGCTCGTCATTGAGGCGTCTCAGCCTCCGGTGCTCTGAAGCACTCCGGGGTCTGATTGCAGTTGTCAGAGCTTGTAGCTGTTGATGCTGTTGGCTGTAAAGATCAAACTTAATTTTTCCCAAAGCCTTATTTTTCAGAAAGGCTTCTCTGCCTACCTGCCACTTACCTTAATACACACAGAGTTAAATTAGGCAAGGAGGTCTTTATTCTGATAGATCATGTGTTTAAAAAAGAAGCCCTAAGTGTGGGATATTTTGTAGAAGCATCTGCTAGAGCTGGTCCTAAGTGCCAAGAGCCTTAGTGCAATAGCGCAGGTATGCTGGGGATTGTGTTATAATAACATAGCATCTTCTTCCAGACGTGTTGTTACATGGTTTGGTCAGGTCTGCGTAGACAGGCACGACCATGTCGTGTTACAACCATGTCGCTGTACAGAATTATATAGCCCAAGTGTTTACAGGGTTCCGCCTGCCTGGCTGAATCCATCTTAATTCTAGCTAAATCCTCCCAGTGCAGTAGCCCTGCCAGAATGGATCAGCCCTCAAAGGCTCCTGACCTTCAAACTTTCTCACTTCTGTCCTGACCAGATGGAATTTCAACGTACACATCTGATTTGGGAAGTATCCTTGTGGATTTACATTTTAATCTAACTTCACTTGCTGAAAGAGAGCTTTCTTTAGCTGTTGATAACAGCCAATAAAGGGAGCTTTGTTTTGACTGCACGTCAAACCTGTCCCATCAGCATTATTTACTGCTTGGATGCTTCTCCTGGGTTTGGTTAGGTCTCCAACTCTGGGTCTCAAGTCCCGAGGGGGTGCTTTTAAGAGCAATGAGGGTTGTACATTTCTTTTCCCAAAGAAATCTCTGCTTTCTTATTTAATCTGGAGGTGGTATCCGTCTGTCTTTCACCTGCAAAGGATTTGATTCCTAACCAAGTTACAACAAGCAGTATTTAAAATCCAACATCTGACTGAAGTTGGCTCCCTTCCTACATTCTCTTCCTCCTCTCCATCCCATGCTCGTCTGCAGCCCTGTCTGGATTTAAGACTCTTCTGGGTTACCCCATGTGAATCTCTGCTCTTTGTCTTGTTTGTGTCCCCAGGGTGGGCCCACGTCGTCTGTGCTTTGTACATCCCAGAGGTGCAGTTTGCCAACGTGCTCACCATGGAGCCGATTGTGCTGCAGTACGTCCCCCACGACCGCTTCAACAAGGTGAGGCCATGTCTTGCGCCTGCTGCCTCAAGTGTACTTGCTCTGCCTTGGCTTTTTGGGGTCATCCTATCAGTCTGCCACGTCTCCTGTCCAATTTATTTGAATTTCCAGATACTCAGAATGCTTTAAAAATAACTAAGAAAGTAAATCCCCCTTTGTGCAAATAACTTCTTTGTCTTCCGTTTCTCTCTTGCCCAATTCTCTGCAACTTGAGCAATCTCCGCCGTGGAGTTGCGTGCTGGTTACTCTGCATTTTGGTCTGACATGGTTGTTATTTGGGGAGAAAAAGGAGGTGTGTGAGTGTTGTGCATGCCACTGAGAAATAACCCAGAGCTGTTGTCATGGGACAGAGATGACTGGTCACAGACTTACGAGTTCTTGAAGACTTTGCGTTCTGGTGGACAGGGAGAGTGAAGCAGACACTTTATCTACCTTTTCGAGTGAGCACTTTTCATTTTTGCAGACCTGCTACATCTGTGAAGAGCAGGGCAGGGAGAGCAAAGCAGCCTCTGGAGCATGCATGGCCTGTAACCGCCACGGCTGCCGGCAAGCTTTCCATGTCACCTGGTGAGTTCCCCACAGCATCACCCCAAGAACAGCCCCAGCTAATGGTTTTGCTGCTATGGCTTTGAGACTGCCCCAGATGGCTCGTGTGGGGAGCTGGGCTAATCACCCTGGGTTTATTTTGTGCGAGGGGTATCTCGTCCTTGCTCAGTTTGTGAGGAGAGCTTCCCAGGAAGGCTGAGGTTTCACCAGTGAGCGGTCTCTGCTGAGAACGAAGGCTGGGGATTTCCCTAAGACTCTGTGGAATCCAAGAAGAGAAGAGATGAGTCACAACCCGGGAATGTTCCTTCTCCAGCAGAGCACATGCAAGGGGATCATCTAGATGATGTGATTTTAAGGGCTGATATCCTCATGTACCCTCGCAGCCTGAAAACAACCTTGCCTATCAGCAGAACGGGGAGATTCCCAGCTTTACATGGATTCCTTGCTCATGAGATGTCTTTCACTGGGATTGTTACTGGTCTCCTGGGCTTCCCTTAAGAAAAACAAAAATTGCAAGGCAATCTGGTAGAAAAGTACTGACAATTTTGAAGATCTGAACATGAATTAAAAATAGTCTGAACATTTTTCCCCCTCCTTGCATATGGTTTGCCAAGCAGAATAGGAAACTTCAAGACCCTGCCTGGGTATCCAGAACTATTTTTTGCCCTTTGATGGGATATGTGGTCTGGTTGTACAATTTGCTTTCTCCTCTCCCTAATTGCATGTATTTCAGTGCCCAGATGGCTGGCCTCTTATGTGAAGAGGAAGTCCTAGAAGTCGACAATGTCAAATACTGTGGCTACTGCAAGTACCACTTCAATAAAATGGTGAGTTTCTTCAAAAAAGGACTCCCTGCAATGGAAGTTTTTTTTGTCGCATATAAGGCATGGTCTTCATCCTAGATTGTATCTGTGCTCAGAGCAGTAAGAAATGCCGAGAACACATAAACAGGGTCTGCAGCCTGCTTCCCTTTTCAGCCATTCAGTCAGAGTCACTTAGGAATAAAGATTAATTTATATTTTGCATTTCTATAGTATCTTCAAACCCATTTTCAAATCTAGGGATTGAGTTCTTCCCATCTGTTTTGGCTTCCCTGACTCACTCTGTATGGCTGAAAGACAAGTCCAGAGAAAGGAGAACAGCGGTGATGTTTGATGCTCCAGGGAGTCAGGGATATAGCTCAGGCACCCTGGGCAGGTGGGTGTAACAGAACTTCTGCCTGAGGACAGAGACAGCCCAGAAGAGACACGGAGGCATTCACTGTTTGAGGGATATTTGGGGGCAAAGGACTTCCCCCTGTTAATTACAGTACCGAGAGGGAAGAGAGGAACCCTTTTCCTGTTCTGCATAATTAGTAGACACCTGCTCTCCCCCCTCCAGCAAAAAGGAAACTTGATCCTCTTGCTACAGCTTGATGTCTCAGTGGCTCCATTGTTGCTGGCCTTTCCCACTTTCCTTCCTGCTTATCAGTGCTGTCACATACAGTGACTGATGTCTTGAGCTTCCCCTTGACGCCAGACTGGAGGACACCTTCCCTGCCCTTCAGGTACCCTCGGTATCTGACACAAACTTAGCTCTGTATCAAGTTTACTGATGCCGAGATAGGTGGCAGGACTTCAGATAGCACCTGGAGTCCGAGAACAGGGCATCCTTCCACAACCCCCCATCCCCCCGGAGAGCTGGACACTGCTGCTCGGGGGGAGCTTGTCTAAGCACCACTGCTGCTGCTGCCATTTGTCTTGTTGTTTATAGAATGGTTTCTTAGCAGCTGTGCCTGTCTTCTTACGAGCGTGTGCATAGGGTGCCAAGAACCAAGGATTTGGGGAGTTAGATCTACATGCTGCTTGTGAGCCCACTAGTAAGGTATCTGCTGTGGTCCCTGTGTTGGGAACCAGGCTGGGCATCTGGGGCAAAAAGAGTTTGGTCCTGCATATGGTAGACAAGCTGTTTACTGTAACTTTGCTCACTGTAACAGTGAAAGCTGGACTCTGTAACACTGTTTGCTCTCTGTCTCTCTCTCTCTTTTTTCTCCTGTTCTCACCTCCTCTCCCGTTCCCCACTGACCTCAGAAGACCTCACGTCACTCTGGAGGTAGCTCCTTCATTGCTGGAAGAAGGAGTCGATCCACATCCCCCGCTCAAGAGAAACATGTATCCCACCACGAAAGGCCAAAGAAGGTAAGATCTGCGCAGAGTTTGTCAATCCAGAGAGGTGCACCCATGAGGGATGGAGGCGAGAAGGGGAAGAGGGTGCAGGGAGCACCAACGGGTGCTCAGATGAGCCCTGACTCTGCAGAATTTCGCAGTCAGAGATTTGAATAGTGGCTGCGTTTTTAAGCAGGCCTCTAGAAATGTGTGTGCAAATCGAGCAGCACAGCCACGGGGAGTGTGAGGCCGAGTTTGCGTGTTCAGATTATGCCAGAGGGGTCCTGGCAGAACACGCCTAGGAAATGTGCAGCTTTCCCCTTTCTGTCTTGTGGCAAGTCCGCTTTGAGGATGACTTTGTGCTCTTGTTTCCAGCTACTGAGTTGGTCTGTGTGGAAGTAGTTTGGGCTGTGGTTTTAAATGCAGCAGCTCGAGAACAGAAAATTGGAGGTTGTTGTCCTCGGATCCCAGCATTCAAGTTTTAAAGGATAAAAGGATACTGACCAGTGGTCTGCATTGTGGCTAGCAGGTTAATTGTTGGCAAGAACAATAATCAGTATAAACTAGGTAGTATTTTGTTTGTTAGATTAGGCAGTCACAGGGATACCACCTGCCTCAAGTCTGCCTGTGAAAATTGTTTATCTTTGTTAGACGTTTATTTAGAAGAACATTGCGTGCCAGATCTGACTGGTATGACAGTTTATTTAACTCTGCTGGTTAAGACTTACTCATCAAAGCTACTGCAGTGTTACAGGACATGTTAACAGCACACCAAGGTTCATAATTAACCAACTGACTCACGTGACAAATGCTCATATTTCAAGGAAAAGCAGCAGTGAACATGTAAGGCAGAATCCCGGCAGACTCCTGGGTTCTGGCAGGGGTGCAGGTTCCACGGTGGAAGGATCTGTACCAAAAGAAATGAGGAGGCCAGAGGCTAGTGAGGTATTTGTTATTTATAACAATAACTAGCCCTAAAAGGCAGGACATGCATTTTTTTGAGGATTCAGGTTCTAAGACAAGTGGCAGCAGAGTAAGAAATTTTCCCTACCTCTTGATACAGCTTTTGCAGTGTGAAGAATCCGCAGCGTAGTACAGCCACCCTCCTTTGCACCCTGTCTATTCAAAGCAGTGGGGTGGGATCTGAAGCAAAAATAACTTGTATAGGGATACTGTCAGTGTGGTGGGATAGTTTTTAATACTTTATGGGCCATATCCTGGTTTTTGATGGCGGAAATCCAGAATCACTCTACCAAGCAACCTCCAGATATGTTCCACTATAGTCAAAAGCCAAATTCACCTTGTTGTATAAACGCAATTGGTGATAGCCCTGCAAATCGCTGTGCAAATCTTTCGGGTCTTGCTATAGATGTCTGGCTGTTTGCTTCTGTTTTGTTTGTTTTTGTCTTGTTGCAGTAGGCAATATGTAAATGATTTTGAATGGTAATGATGGTGACCCACATCCAGAAACAGCCCGATGACACTCGGGTGGGTTATGTGGCCAAAGTCTGATGGATCTCAGCCCAGTCTCCAGGGGACAAGGCCATCCAGGCTTTTAAAAGCAGTATGGCCATCAGTCAATACTGACTGACACCCTCCTGGCATGCCCAGCTGAGAGTCCATAAATTATGTGGGCAGGAAAGCCATCTCCTCCTTTATTTACAGAGGTTATCCCGCAATATCCAGTTTGAAACTCTGCCCACCACGTCCATTACGTGTTTGGGAAGCTTGCCCAAACCGTACCTGATACATGGGCAAACAAGGCAAACCTCGCTGACAAAGTGGTGCCTACCCTGCCGCCGACACCAAGGCAGTAAATTTCCTCTGCCGACAAGGCTGAAGCGTGTGGGGAGTATTTACTCCTCGTGTGTGTTCAGCTGCTGCGCGGAGAGGAGGAGGAGGCGGGAGGGAGAAAGCATCTGTGCCGCGGATGGGGAGCGAGCGCTTGGCACAAGGTGGACGGCTGTACTGGAACGTGCTATTTTTAACCAACAAGCAGGCAGAGGGGGTGGAGGAGAGGGCAGGATCGGGGTGAGTGACGGCGGCTTTGGCGAGCTCAGCTGTAATTATAACTGACAGACTGTGCGTGTCCAAGGCTGGGGACCGCGCCGGGGTTTCTGTATTTGCACAGCTTCTGGTGGCAGGGGTGGGAGCCCCGTCACGTGCCTGGCAGGTAGGAGCCGGGGAAGTGCTGCTTCCCGGCTTTGGTCGGAAAGCAGGTCAGCGCCAGGGGGAGAGCGAAAACAGGAGGAATATGGATTTATTTATAGGCTTCTCAGTGGTGCTTGCCACTATTGTTAGCCTGTGGGTTCCTCGCAAACGTGCAGAGACTCCGTCTCGCTGCTGCCTCGCCGCCCTTCTCCTCCTGATGGCTCATCGGGTTTGCGAGCGGCGGATCCGACGGAGGCCCCTTCCAGGGCGGGTGGCTTGGCAGGGCCGCAGCGCAAGTGCAGAACCGACTCCTTCCACTCAGAGAGGGGGAGTGAGCACGGAGAGGGGGTCGAGGTGTGCGAAGCAGCTGGCAGGGGCAGGGTGAGGAAGGCACTCTCAGCCTCCCTGGGGTGCTGGGTAGTTCAGAGGTCTGGGAGTGGTTATGGAGTGTGGGGAGGAAGGGCTGGGTGTGAGGCGGTGTGGGAGCAGAGACCTTTCGAAGGGGTGGCCCAAGACGGGGTCGAACCGTTCGTGCCCACATGGCTTTGGAGTACGTGACTAGCAGTGCATGATCTAATTGCACATGTTGCAGGGGAACTGGGCGTGCTGCTGTGCTGACCTGGAGTGGAACAGCTTTTTCTCGAGCCGGTCCAGCTGTGCAGCTGGCTGGGCCCGTCCTCCCGGAGCCGGAGGCATTGCAGGGGAGCTGAGCGCTCGGCAGCAGCCCAAAGCGCCCGTCTGAGTCCCAGGGCTGCAGGTGCTCATGGCTCTCGGCTCGAGAAGGAGCTCGGTGCCTGACAGCTCCCTTCCAGTGCAGGGCTGTGGCTGGTTGCTTAGGCTTTACGGTGGCAAACTCTGGCTGCCTAAATGACTAAGTGAGGGGCACAGGATTTAACCCAGTGGCTGCAGTAAGAGAGCAGAGACTCAGGATTTGGACTCCCCAGCCCTGCTGTAACACAGTTCAGCATTTGTGAAGAGTCTTGTTCTCTGTGGAACAAGGGACAATTGTGATGTGGGACTGCAAGGCATTGTCGTCATCCCCCCCCTTTTGCAGGCACAAATGATACCAACCCGAGCGTTTCCTTCTGTGCTGTCCTGAAAACGGGGAAGCTCCAGGCTTTGGGTTTTCCTCGGAACATACCAGTCCTTAGCAAAACCAGCCCCATTTATGTCTTTGGGGTTGGTATTGCAATGTGTGTGCTCTACCCTGTGGGAGCCTTTGCAGGGTTGGTTTGTTTAAAAAAAGAAAGAAGAAAAAAGGAAGAAAACAATAGCTAAATACCAAGAAAGTGCTGGATGACGCACAGAGGTTGAATGAAGTACAGATGTTGTGTCACCTATATTGTCTGCTTGAAACACGCAGAAAAAAATTACCATGCTCCACGGAATGGAATTTGTCACACCAGGAGCAGACTGGAGCACATCTACTACGACATTTTTAGGCATCTACCCCACGGAGGGAGGCACTTGTCCAGTGTTATTCTTAGTGAACACCTGGAACCCATCAGCAAAATCAGGGGACTTTTTAATTTGGTCTGTTATGAGAGGAAGGGTCCCTGCCCGGTGACACAGGAGAGAGGGGCAGGCGCCTGGAGCAAATAAGCCCAACCTGCAGTGGTTCCTCAGGTCTGGATACGGAGCCGGTTCTCCACAGTTGTAACACACCTCTAACTCCTGAACTGCTTCCCTGCCCTCCGTGGGGGGCACTTTGGGGGGTGCAGGGACTGTCTCTGTCCTGCCCACCCTGTCCCGTTGGCACCAGCCCGAGCAGTGCACGAGCCCTGGTCCCACGGCATGGGAGCAGCCGCGCAGCACAGCCTGCTCCCCCCCGCCCCTGGCTGGCTGGCTGAGCCCGGTGAAACGAGCCAGGGATCCGGCCTGGCAGAGGCAGCGCACTGGGGAAGTTGTACTGGGCTGAAATCGAAGCCCGGTGGGTCTGGGAGGGGCTTTGTGTTCGCATTCGAGCTGGGGACGGGGGTCTGCCTCTGAGTGCTGTGTCCACGCAGACACCAAAGTGGACATTTTTTTCAAGTGGGGTGCAGGTGGCTGCTTGCAAGACCAGCACAGGTTTGTTTGGGAAGGAGTACTGAACCTAAATCTGCTCTGATCGAGCTGTAGAAGCTTTGTTTTATAGCATCCTTGACCGGCTTTCCGTGACCTCTTGTTACGTGGGTGCTTAACCGCCCCCAGCAAATCCTTCCATTAGCGGGGACTGCAGCTGTGATTTGAGAGCAGGCAAAGCCCAGCGAGGGCTGGCCGTGAATCCTGGTGTAAACCCTCTCCTGCACTCCGAGCGTGTCTCAAGGCAAGCCCGTGAAATCCCAGCATGGCCCTGGTGCTGGCAAGGTTGCAGGCAGAGGCTCGGTGTCCCTCTGCCTTCCTCC